AAACAAAAACAAACCAATTTGGCTTTTACTCACAGTTTCCTAGCTAGCTCCTCCTCTCCTTTCCGCTCTCCTAGCCTGGTTAATTCTTCAAGTCTATCGCTCAGTTGGTGCCTCCTCCAGAGGCATTTTCTGCCCAATATTCTTGCTAGACGTTCCCACAAGACCTGGTACATCTCCTTCACAGCTAGATGCGTTATTTTCTTCTAAAGGAGGGGAGTATAGACATTGCCTATACATTCAGTCCATTTGTGCTATAATTTCAACACCTCAGATGCTGAAGCAGCAGGCTTGCTGACAATTTAAGACCTTGACTACGCAGTAGTTTGAGGCAAGTGTAAGCTATTTAACAGGTCCCTGTCTCAAAAATACAAGAAAATCTCATTGGGTATGGTAGTGCATGCCTTTAATTCCAGTACTCAAGCGCAGGAAGGAGAGGCAGCTAGAATTCTGTGGCAGACAGATCTCTGTGAGTTCCTGACCTGGCTATTTCTACACACTGAGTTCTAGACCACCCAGGGCTACACAGGGAGTTTCTCTTGTAGAACAGTTTCTTTGTTTTCATTTTTCACCTTTTAGAGTCTCTAAACTTTCAGTTCCTTTTTGAAAAACTAATTTTCTCCCTCCCTTTGTCCCTTATTTTTCCTTCCTTCCTTCCTTCCTTCCTTCCTTCCTTCCTTCCTTCCTTCCTTCCTTCCTTCCTTCCTTCCTTCCTTTCCTTAAGATAAAGTCTTGCCAAGGCAATGGTGGCACATGCCTTTAATCCCAGCACTTGGGATGCAGAGGCAGAGAGCTATCTCTGAGTTTGAGGCCAGCCTCGTCTACAGAGTGAGTTCCAGGACAGCTGGAGCTATACAGAGAAACCCTGTCTTGAAAAACAAACAAACAAACAGGTCTGACGTAGCCCAGGCTGACCTCAAACTTTCTTTGTAGCTAAGGACAATGTTGAATTATTAACCTTCCTGTTTCAGCCACCATCTCTGCCACCAGCTCCCTTCCGCTTTTGAAAAATAGGCATATGTTTTTGTTTTGTTTTTTTTTTTATACCACAAAGGTCATCTATGGGTTTGATTCAATAATTTTTAGTAAATGCATCATTACAAGCACAAGGCAAGTACTCTACCACTGAACTACACATTCACATCCACCGGCTTTAAAATGTCCTTGTCATTCCAGTGAGACCCTACATGCCCACTTCCCTGTTACCACTCCCACCCCAAATCCAGTCTTATTACATGAGATCTTTTGTGCCTGGCTTCGCATGATTTGGCGGGGAGAGCCATACATGAAGGAGTTCCTGGAAGTACCCTTTTTGTTCCTATTAATGCTGAATAATATTTAGCTTGAGTGTGCTAAATATTATGTCACTGTTTGGGGGGTCATTTGGGGTCTAATATGTGGCCTAATATGTGGTAAGCAAGTCCTCGGCAAAGAGCTACATGCCCAGCCCTGTTTAGTTTTGATTTTGTACCTTCACAAGTTGACAGACTCGGGAGTTGTTCCTGCTTGCTCTCAGTAATGCTGTAAACACAAATTTCCAGAGGCAGCTGAAGAGAGGAAACGGACTTAACTATTTCACGGAATATGTTACAGAGTTATGGCTGCATGGTTGTTCTTTCAGAGTTTCAATCTGTTTGAATGAGCAGCGTTTAGTCTAATCATGCAGGCTGATTGTGGAAACAGCATGTTTTAAAAAACTAAATCAGAAAAAAATGCAAGAGAGTGAGAGGAGGACTCAAAAGTTTGCCTCTGCCAGCAACAACTGTAGGAAAGAGATTTTCCATTTTCCTGAAAGATCGAAACATAATTTACAGGCACGAAATGGGTTCTCACCTTCTGAAGCTGCATGGATAACAGGTCAGTTGGCAACACACTAACTCTGGAGGGCAGAGTAACCAGGCCACCAGGAACGTCTATCCAGAGACAGTGAGACCATACATATACGGGTGCTCTGTGATGCTATGTACTTTGAAGATGCTGGAACTCTTCCAGGGAAAAAGCTAGCTATTCTTGGAAACAATTCATTCTTAAAAGATGTGAACAGCAGTTTGACTTCCTGTGTAAAACAGGTTAATCTAGACAGTGGACAAGCTAGAAGATCTTAGAACATTTTTGGTTTGTTTGTTTGTTTTTCTTTGAAATGTGGTGGTTTCTTGGGTTTATTCTCATCTGTTCCATAATAGAATGCTAGTTCTCTAGTAATTCTGGAGTAATCCAGATGTGTGTGTGTGTGTGTGTGTGTTTGCAGAATACATAGGATTGTATTCTGTATTGCATTGTATTGCATTGTTTCCTCGGATACTGTCTGCCTTTATTTTTGAGACAAAGTTGCTTACTGCCCCCAGAGCTCAGCAAGTAAGCTAGTCTGGCAGCCCTGTGAGCCATAGGGACCCTTCTATCTCCACTTCCCCAGCACTGGGGTTACAAAAAATGCGCCACTGTGCCTGGTTTGTTAACTTGGCTTCTGTGGATTGAACTCCAATCTTCAAGCTTGCAAGCGCTTTACTGAGCAAGCCATTTCCCTGTCACCTAGCTACTTATAATGAAAAGAAAATACCTTCACTGACCTCCTCAGCTCTGGCATGTAATTTGTTATTATGAGACCATTCTCGGGTCAGCTCAGAAGAATAGCACTTTCCAGCCCTTCTGTTTGAGCTTGTTTTTTTGGAAACACTGCCCAGAGAAGTTCAGCCTGGCTGGAAGCAAGCAGGAAGATAGTGCAGGTTTGAAAAACCTGCTTCCAACCTCCTTTCTGGTGGAAGAGACATCTATCCCACCCTCGAAGCCATTGCTTCTCTTCTCGAAACCCGATCATAAACTGCTCTATTTTCTATCAGTAATTACACATTTCCAGTCCTAGATAACAACACATGGCTTCTTCAGTGCCAACATGGGAGTTCTACTATGCCCTGTTCTATGCATGTTAAAAACTAGCTTGGTGCACACCTTTAATCCCAGCACTTCGAGGCAGACACAGGCAGATTGCTGTGAGTTTGAGGCCAGCCTGGGCTGCATAATGAGAACCTATCTTAAAAAAAAAAAAAAAGTAAAAACTAAGTGTTTCTGAAGAGTAGCACAAATGTCAGGATTTCTCTTAGAAGAAGCCTTGTGTTCTCATTATATCTGCAACATTTCTCCCCTGCTTAAGCCACAGTGAGGCCTGGCCCCTTGTATGCATGTTAGAGGCTGTCGGTAGAGCATTTGAGGAGGGCACATTTCCAAGTTAAGGAAGGTTCTGGGTGGACAGCCACATGAAAAGACGATGCTTCTCTCCGTGTGAAACGTGTTGCTGGGAGAGAGACTGTCCCCTGAGAAGGGCAGATGTTCTCCATTACAAAGCAGGGAAAGCATTTTGACTCTTCCTGCGGTGAATAGAGGTCACAGGTTATAGCTTTCTTTGGCGTTGGGTATAAAAAGCCATTCTGGAGAGCCTTTTGTTGCCTGTAGTGGAGAGCCATTTGCTCTTTGTTCTCAATGATGACAACATTAAGGGGCATTGTTTTGTGTTGGGGGCCCAGAACAAAAAGACACATCTGTGACCAGAAGTTCTGTCTATACTGTGCATTAGAGGTTGCTCTAAATTTGTTCCCTGACAAAAGGAAATTTTCACCATGCATGCCTCTTTTTAGGTCTCTGAGTCTATTTAAGGTAGTAGATCTCAGAGGGGGTTGGCCGCATTACAGAGGAAGTCCAGGCTTGTATGGGACAATTTTCTCAGTACTTTCTCTTTGAGAATGTTTTAAATTTTCTTCAAAATACATACTTTTGAAGGGGCATAGTGATGCACACCCTTAATATTGACACTTAGAAGACAGAGACAGGAGGATCTTTGTGAGTTCAAGGGTAGCCTGGTCTACACAGCAAGTTCTAGGCCAGCCAGGGATGCATATTGAGACCCTGCCTCAAACAAAACAAAAACCTAAGCCAAAACATATTTTTGGCTGGGTGTGATTGCTCCTATCTCTAATCCTAGTACTTGGGAGGCTGAAACAGGAGAATTGCTGCATTTCAACCCAGAACTGCTGAATTCAAATTTATTGTGAGCTATGTGAAATACTCTGTACTCAAATAAATTCTTACAGGATGCTCACATTTTCAGCTGGGCATGATGGTGTGTGCCTATAATCCCAGCATAGTGTGATTCCAGAATGTTGCCTGTGAGGCCAGGTTAGGCTACACAAGAAGATCCCATCTCAAAAAGTCAGCCCCCACTCCACTTCTGAGAGGCTCAGGGAACATCACAGAAGAGGGAGGAGGCAGAAAGAATATAAGAGCCAGTATATGGGAATAACACATGAAATAACATGTTCTTGACATGAAATGGTTATTAAACTCATGAACTCACTGCAGCCATGGTTATCCAAACAGGACAGACACAAAATCAAAATCAAGCCAGTCAGAAGTTCAGACCCAGGGCTGGAATGATGGTTCCGAGAACAGCTAAGAGCAGTGGTTGCTCTCACAGAAGATGCCAGACAGATTCCCAACACCTACACTGCCGCCCACAACCATCTGTATCTCTAGCTCCATAGCATTTGATGCCCTCTTCTGGGCTCTGTGTGCTCTGCATACATGTGGCACACAGCCATACATGCAAAATGAAAATAAATGTTTAAAAGAAAAAAAAGGCTGTCCTTTAGTCTTGACGTTGGGAGGCAGAGGCAGAGGCAGAGACAGGTGGATCTCTGTGAGTTCAAGGCCAGCCTCGTCTAAAGAGTGGCCTTACAAGCTGAGCTATTGGCAGGTGATGCTGCTGGAGAAGGGCTATTCTTTTTTTTTTTTCTTTTTCTTTTTTTTAAGGGATGTCACCTCTAGTAGGCTGCCCAGGACCCAGGGGATGGCCTCACGAATCCATGTGACATGGATTTGATTCAGGAGACTTAAAAAAAAAAAAAAGTCATGAAGTTGGAAGGACGCAGCATTGAGCTAAAGGGGAAAAGTGGGGCATAGCTATGATCAAGATCCATATATGAAATTTTCAAAGAATAAATGTAAAATGTTGC